GCTGAATTTTCATTTACATTGTTAACTTTGGAGACAGGTACCTAATAAGAACTAATTGGGAAATTTGCTATATTTATTTAAGGAAACTCCTGCTAGATATGTTAAGGGGTTTGTTTGAGTTTGAAAAGCTCAAAGTTAAGTTACTAGCAGGACTATACATATAACCCGCTCTTCATTTCTGTCCTTTTACCTTTGTTGCTTAATGATGACCTCTGTGAGATTGTTGCTGCATCCACTGAGAGAGTCAGGTAAGGAGTGTTCTCACGTGATCTGCTCTCAGGCAGCCTCCATACATCTCCAAGGGCTGAGGCTCGTTTGTCACAGGAGCATCTGTTGGCAGAGCTTGTCACTTTGCACATTCACCTATTCACTTCCAGTACTTTTCCTCCAGCAGGACCAGTCCAGATTCACAAGCTTCCGCTTCTTCCCACCATTTCACTTACAATGCATCCTGTGAAATGGAACTCCACAGTGTTCATTTAGTATCATTTAGTATTGCTTCACTACCTTTCATGGTAGTGCTTACCATGTGAGCATCTGTTTCTACACACCCCTCTTTCCATCTGAAGGATCTTAAAACATCATGTGCAAGGACCCTGTTGTGGTAGTTGGTGGCCCTGAAATGGGCACATGATCTGAGGCAGTAGTTTAAAGCTATGTGTTTGGAGCAGAGAAGAGTATGGGTTGGGCTAGAAACAGACCCTATGAAATGTCCTGCTGACCTTTGCCCTTTTTTCTAAGTGCAAAGGGAACCCTTTGTGGGTTTTTCTTTTTTGTTTTGTTTGTTTTATATTTACCTTTTTAAAAAAGGATTCCTGAAAACTGGACTTTGTGTTTGTTCGAGGTGTTGGGAGGGATGTTAGGGGAGGATGGCTATTTGGTAGTGTTTCTGTGGATTGATGGGAGTGAAACCCTAAGTGGATAGAAGGTAAGACAATGGAGGCAGTGTGAATAGACAGCTTTGGAAAAGCTTGTTGTCTAGAGAGAAAAAAGATAACCGAACCCATTTTTCACTCTTATTTTATACTCAGGCCTCTGGAAACCTCTCTGTTCTCTGTTTCTCATTTTTGTTACCCCAAAACATCCTGGATCCTAGGGTCATCCATTTCCATTGAGTGTCAGTGAGGACTTTCTCTTGGATTCTTAATTCCCCATGATCTCACACCCTACTCAAACTCATGGAGTCAGAATCCAGTTTGATTAGTGGTGCTGCCACTTCTGACTCTTCTCCCTTTAATGTCCACCTTCTTCCTCCAAACAGTCCTATAGTGTCCAAAATTTGTGACTCTAAATTCTCTCAAGTCTTGCTGATTCAGCTTCTTTATTGTCTCTTAGATTGATTGTTTCTTCTTCTCATTACACATCCTCCTTGTCTTTTGACTGGGCTGCTATTCACTATTAAAAAATGAAAATTGTAATACATATCTTGAAGGTTTCCTAGGAGTATTAATTTAAATGGAATGTGTAGGCTGGGTGAAAGTGGCTCATACCTGTAATCCCAGCACTTTGGAAGACCGAGGTAAGAGGACTGCCTGAGCCCAGGAGTTCAAGACCAGCCTGGGCAACATGATGAGACATCATCTCTACAATAAATAAAAAAATCCACTGGACATGGTGGTATACACCTGTAGTTCCAGCTACTTGGGAGGCTAAAGCAGAAGGATCTCCTGAGCCCAGGCGATTGAGGCTGTGGTAGCCAAGATTGCGCCACTGCACTCTAGCCTGGGTGACAGAGTGAGACTCTAACTTAAAAAAATAAATAAATGTGTGAAACGTAGTATAATCCTTTCTTCCTTTGTTCCTTCTTTCCTTCTTTCTTTTGTGCTGGGGTCTCTTTCTGTTACCCAGACTGGAATGCAGTGGTGTGATCACGGCTTATCACAGCCTTGACATCCTGGGCTCAGGTGATTCTTCTACCTCAGTCTCCTGAGTAGCTAGGACTACAGGCACATGCCACCACGCCTGGATAATTTTTTTTATTTTGTGTAGAGACGAGGTTTCACTGTGTTGTCCATGCTGGTCTTGAACTCCTGGGCTTAAGCCTTCCTCCCACCTCTGCCTTCCAAAGTACTGGAATTACATGCATGAGCCACCATGCCCAGCTGTGTGGTGCTCTGATATTAGTGGGTGTTCTAGGCTTTTTCTGTCATCAGCTCACTTATCCATTTCCAGTTTTTAGCCAGTTCTTTCATTTTTCATCCTGCCAGAGTTGTCTTCCCTAACTACACTGCTTTTTAAGCACCTTCAGTTTTTCCGTTATCCATAGTGTAGCCAAACCTTCTTAATGAGGTGGTCCAGTCTCATAATCTACTCCCGTCCTTAAGGTATAATCCTTTCACCCTTTACCGTCTTGATTCTGACTAGCCTTCCTTGCTTTTTGTGTCCCAACCACATTGGACTACTCGATGTAGTCCAAAAACTCTATTTTGACTTTGTTTTTGTGGTCTTTGAATCAGAGTGCCCTTTTTTCCTTTCTCTCTTATCTGATTGTTTAAAACAAGCCAAAAAAATGTAAATATATGTGGTAGAATTATTATGTATATGTGTGTATGCATACACATGTATGTATGTGACAAATACATGTATCACATAAGCTGTTTATTATGACAAGGAGTATCATGAGGTCAGCATTACCATCTGTTAGACATAGACTCTCCAAACATGTGCTGTTTAATTTGTTAAATAAAAACAAGGTTTAAATGGATGGCCATTGTTTTTGCCCTTTATAAAGGCCTTGGCCTGAACTTGACGATGACTTAGAAAAAGTGATTCTATGAGAGCTGAAATAACTCACCCAGATCACTTTAAAATTTTAATAGAACATAAAGAATTTAGGTAGATGGCTAGTTAACAGGATTAGGGAAAAAAGAATGAGCATTTGTGTGTGCCAAACACTTTATATACCTTATGTCTTTGAATCCTTTGAAAGTTCCACAGGTGGTATTTTACAGGGGGAGAAAATTGAGGATTAGAAGGGGTAAGTTATTTGTTTAAGATATAATCTTGTTAGACTCTCTCCTATCTCTTAGGCTCTCCCTCACACAACGATGACTGAGCAACAGTGTGCTCAAGTCAGCTGTGGTTTCTTTCTTCACTGTGCTTATTCTCTATAGACTGTTTACTCTAGACAGTTTGGAAAAAAGAATTTTGGTTCAGTATATGTGTTCATCCTGGGGTTTATGTTCTTTCCCTTTCTTTCCCAGACAGTATTTCTATTTAAACACCATTGTGGCTGTAAAAATAATATTTGACTTTCTGTTACTGTGCCTGTTTTCTTAGGGTTATAAAGTGTGCTATGTGTATGCATTGTTTTTAAACTAATTAAACCAAAAGCAAATGTTTATTTAACAGAATAAGAAAGAAATGAAATTCATATACCTGCAATGTATTATTTATCACCCTTATGTATCTGGACTCCTGTATATTTCAAAATCAAGGTTTTCAGTGCCTTAAGTTAAGCAGTAGTGGTAGTGGTAGAAGTAGCTGTGGTAATAACAAGGTCAGCAGCAACAACTGACACTGATTGAGGTGTGATCTTGTACCTGTGTTTGTGTGTGTGTGTTACTATGTTTCCAAGTGCTTTACTAGCTTGTTTAATCTTCTCAGTAGACAGGTAATGTAGTTCTGTAGTTCTCTCCATATTACAGATGAGGAAATCAAGACACCGAGAGGGCAGGAAACTTGCCTAAGGTCACATAGCTAGGATACGTATGCTAGTGACTTGGTGGTTTTGAATTAATTTGAATTTGCATTGCATTTATTTATTTATTTTAAAGATATGGGTGCAATTCAGGATTGGGTATATAAGTGGTCATTGTACAGGTAAAGTTTGGGCCTCCTTTTGGTCCCCACTTTGCCTAGTTTGAGATCAGGTACGCTTATTAATGTTATCTGCTCCCTCTCCCTCCCCTGGCAGTTTCCTGATACTGCCAATCCTTTTTTTTTTTTCCCCAGTTGGAGTCTCATTCTGTTGCTCAGGCTGGAGTGCAGTGGCACACTCATGGCCACCACAGCCTCAACCAGCTGTTCTCAGGCAATCCTTCCGCCTCAGCCTTCCAAGTAGCTGGAACTATAGGTGTGCACCACCACGCTTGGCTAATTTTTTGATTTATTGTAGATATAAGGTCTCACCAAGTTGCCCAGGCTGGTCTTGAACCCCTGGACTCAGGCAGTCCTCTCGCTTTGACCTCCCAAAGTGCTGGGATTATAGGTTTGAGCCACTACGCCTAGCTCCCAATCCCTTTCTTATAGTAAATGCTCATGGTAAATGGTAAATGTTCAGGGTCTGCTTATGAGTGATGAATTTACACTGTTAATCAGTTAAATACATTATTGAAATGTCTCTCAGTTAATGTGTTATTTACTTTCCTGGTATTGGGACTCACTGTACTTTCTAGGGGCATTCGTAACAGATTATCATCAATGTAAAAGTAACGAGGCCTAGTTTGTTAAATTATATGCAAGTCACTTAAATTACTGAGGTATCCTCAAGGAACTAGAGCAATCCTTACTATGTTTTGTTAACAATATTTTTGAAATGCGGGTATGAAAGTATTACAGATTCATGAAGGTGCTTTAATATTTTCCACAGAATGTTATTGAAATGGAAAATTTCGTATATTTAAGTGCTGGCTGGGAAAATACATTATTTTGGATTGCAGCAGATAAGGGATTTTTTAAGGGCTTGGCAGTTATGCTAATAGGTAAAGCAAACATCTTTTCTATTTAGCAAGTGGTAATATTGTATTCTAAAATTGTGCTTTACAGGAAGAAAGATTTAGTTAATAGAGACATAATATTTTTATAAGTTTGGGAAGATTTTTATTGGCTAAGAAATAATATTATATAATATGTTCTGATGCTCTTATGTTTAACTCAGTATTTTTCCTCCTTTTTTTAGTTCTTCACCAAAGGACATGGATGAAAATGAAAGCAACCAGTCCCTGATGATAAGCAGCCAATATCCTAAAGAAGCAGTAAGAAAACGCCAAAATTCAGCACGGAATTCTGGAGGAAGTGATTCTTCTAGGTTTTCCCGGAAAAGCTTCAAACTGGATTACAGACTGGAAGAAGATGTAACTAAGTCAAAGAAAGGAAAAGATGGGAGATTTGTTAACCCTTGGCCAACATGGAAAAGTCCCTCTATTCCAAATGTTCTCAGATGGCTGATAATGGAGAAAGATCACAGCAGTGTTCCTTCTTCTAAAGAGGTAGCATTTGGCTTTTTTTTTGTGCTTTGTATTTACTCTTAATATTTGGCACTTAGGTTAGTTACTTGAGCTTTTTTATATAAGACATAGGACGAGGCTCTGGAGAAATAGAGTAGATAGGTATAACCTGTGCCCTAAAGTCATCGTTTAGCAGCATAAAGATGAGAAAGTGCATGATGTATTACAGAAAGTAGTAGCTTGATATGTGTTTGAAATGTGGATTATGAAGGTGAAGGTGTGGCCTAGAGTGCTTGGTGTTTAATCCTTGGATTAGGTTGCCAAATTCTGCATCTTCAGATGACCTGTCCAGACATTTAAAAATTGACTATAGGTTTCTAGCCTTTAAATGTGCTAATTTTACTTGGCATGATTCTACTTGACCTTTTCCTATTCTGCTAGAATAGATCCATCACAATTTTTGGCTAAAGTGATTTCGCTGTTTACTTTATTGTGAGTATACCAATATTTTTCATTGGTGAACTGAGTAACGTACTGTGGCTATGTCTCCTTTCCTTTTGTACTTTTCCTCCTGATGTTAACAGTACCTTTCTTCATCTCCTTGACCTTCTATGTATTTGTTACTGTTATTTCTCTGCCTCCATGTCTTCCCAGTGTTGTTTTCCTGAGGGAAAGGCCCTCAGGTAGTCTTCCAGCACCAGGATGTAGTCTGAGCTGACTCCCTCCAGGGTCTCTGCCAGCTTCTATTCTAGGGCTCCCTTTGCCATTCTCCTGGGCTCCTAGTCTCTGCCAAGCTGGCCCCCATTTTCTGCATTCCACTTTGTCTTCATCACTGTTTCATTCTGGTGAAGCACATTTTCAATGAGCTTCCTTAGAAAGCATACCTGGAAAGTACGTTTTTTGAAACCTTGCTTGGGTGAAATGCTTTTGTTCTCACTCTGATTGTTAGTTCAGTATAGAATTTTACTTAGGAATTGTTTTCTCTCAGAATCTGAGTGCATTGCCTCCATTACTTTCTGTTTAGTGTTGCTGTGGAGAAGTTCAGTGCCATTCTTGATTTTTTGTACCTGATCTTTATTTCTTTCAAGAGACTTTGGTCATCATCTCTTTGGTGCTGTGGAGAAGTTCAGTGCCATTCTTGATTTTTTGTACCTGATCTTTATTTTCTTTCAAGAGACTTTGGTCATCATCTCTTTGCAATTATGTATAGTTCTTTATGTTGCCTGGCGGGGCCTTTCAGTCTGAAAATCCATTTCCTTTAGTTCTAGGAAATTTTCTTGTCTATTTCTTTGAAAATTCCCTTCATAGCATCTTTTCATTCTAAAATGAATGTTAGTCCTATTTAAGACTACCTGGATCAATTCTCTTTAATTTTAAAAATTTCTTCTGTATTTTATCTTTTTTTCTTTTTTATAGTTTTACATTCTAAAAGAGTTCCTCAATAATTTATTTATTTCATTTTTAACAACTTTAGTATGTGTCCCAGAGTTGTAGTGATGAACGAAAATGTCATGAAATACAATAAAAGACTAGAAAATATGAATACTGTGTGATCTTAACCATGCATAAAATAAAACTACAAGTAAAGATAGCGTAATGTAAACACTGGCTACAATCTCTGCATGTTGCTATAATGATGGCTATGCTTATCTTTTTATTTTTCTGTATTTTCCAAGTATTTTATGAAGAACATTTTCTCTTATAATCAAGGAGTTTCAAAATACTAAGTCATGGCCTGGCGTGGTGACTCAAGATTGTAATCCCAGCACTTTGGGAGGCCTGGGCAATATGGTGAGACCTCATCTCTACAATAAATTTTAAAAATTTGCCAGGCATGGTAGTGTGCACCTGTAGTTCCGGCTACTTGGAAGGCTGAGGTGAAAGGATTGCCAGAGCCCGCAGGTCGATGCTAGGGTGTCTGTGAGTGTGCCACTGCACTCCAGCCTGGGCAACAGTGAGATGTCAATTCAAAAAAAGAAAGAATACTAAGTCATTTTGATGGATCTTGTACTGCTAATACACACTGTATAGCAAAAATGTCAAGCATTATTCAATAATTAATTGAATTGAAGTTATTTTGGTAATAGATCAATCTCTATTCATTGTTCACATATATCTTAAAAAATGTGAAAAAGAAAAAAATTAAGTATAAAACTGAGTTGTAAATACAATATAGGTACTAAAGTTTTCTAAGATGGTAAAAAATGTACCTTCAGTTGAAAGAAAAGGATTAACCTGGCTTTAAAAGTGATTTTTTTAAAAATGTGATTTAAACAGATTTGAGTCAAATTCTTCTCTTCTTCTGTCTCATGCACACAACACATTCTCTTAAAATAAGTATATTAACAAGAATATGACTTTCACTGTTTAATTTTAATGCAAGTTCATATCATTTACACCATACAAAGGGTCTGGTTTAATGAAAAGAGAGGTCTTTTGAATCAGGAAGACCTAGATTTTACTCTTGATTGGACACTTACCTGTTATGTGACCTTGGCGAGTTTCTTAGTGACTCTACTTTGCCTTGGTTTGGTCATCTGTAAAATGGCAGTAATATCTGATTCACAAATTTAGATGACATAATGTACTTAAAAAACCTGGTGAAGGGTAGTGGTTGAGTGAATGTTAGAATTTTTCTGTTTTCCCAAGAAAAGTAAAACATTAGTGTACTGCTTAGTTGTGAGTCTTGTGATTTTCCCTTTTGCAGCTTTCAGAAATGGAAGACCAGCAAAGAAAGTCGTGATCTAGCCTTTCTTTTTGGAATCTCATTGGTAGATTCATGTCTTTGAGTTTTATGAGATAGTAGTGCTAGAAATAAAGTTCTTTAAAGTAAGCTACTCTTTTGTGCTAGGCATAGGAATTATGTAGTATGAAGAAATAAACATAAAGGAAAATGTGATGACTTAATTCAGATCTTTTGTCATTATCTTTTCATTAACAGCTTTGTTGAGATATAATTCACATACTATGTAATTGATCCATTTAAAGTATACAGTTCAGTGGTTTTTAGTATATTCAGAGTTGTGTAACTATCATCACAATCACACACATTTTTATTAACCCCCAAAGAAATCTGTGTCTTTAGTCATCACCCCACAATTTCCTTATCCTATCCTACCCCTGGAAACCACTAATCTATTTTCTGTGTCTGCATTTGCCTATTCTGGGTATTTTATACATGGAATCATACAATATGTATTCCTTTGTGACTGGGTTCTTTTAGTACTTGACCTGCTGATATTTAGGAACAAGTATTGGCTGCCAGAGTTGTTCTTTGAAGATTTTGTTCCTTCTTTTTTTTCCTTTTTTTTTTTTTTTTGGGTTGGGGTC